ATTTTCTTGGTTCATATGAAAGCAAAACATAATACAGCAGAAGAAATCAAAGGGGGTTTAGATAATTTTTTAAAACTTTCTATCTTGAACAGGCTTTCTATAAAAAGAGAACATATGGGGTAAAGTTATGATTGACCACAGTTGAACCACACCTCCAGTCAATGAACGTAGAGTGTCTGTGTTTCGTATTGGAGTGGCTAGGCTGATGATAACCGTCATTTAGGGCCCGGGTGAAACGCCGTGCTGCTGTGAAAACAGGACGGTCCCCGGACTGCCTGTGCCACCAGGCAAACAAAAAGCACCAGCCAACCACTGCTGTCCGGTGATTCCGAGTCACGTCCGCCTGCCAGGACCGAGTGCAGTTGCCCCACAGGGTGTTCAACGGACACAGACTGCAACTGCTTCCTCCTCCCGGAGCCGCAGGGACGGCTTCAAAGGACCCACGACTTCAGTTAGCAGTCCAAAGCTTCAGCCACTGCACCTCGAGGCCACGTGAGACCTAGATGCCCATGTCTGTGGGCCTGTTGCCCATGCCATCGATCAGCTCCGACCCCTCCGACCCTGTGCTCAACAGCAGGAAGCACGTTCAGCCCCGCGCGGCGTTCCTCACCACGGTTCTTAGGTTTGAGCCCCTGGTGGCGGCCACTGTGTCCACCCATCTTGTCCAGAGTCGTCTCCTTTCTTACTGCCCGTCTGCTTTACCAAACATGATGTCCTTCGCCAGGAACTGGTCCCTCCTGACAACACGTCCACAGTCCATGAGACAAAACCTCACCATCTTTTCCTTTGGGAAGACTTCTGGCTGTGCACGATGAATTTGTTTGTTCTTGAAGCCATCCATGGTACTTTTGGTGTTCTTTACCAGCACCCCAATTCAAATGCACCCATTCCTTTCTATCCGCCCTTATTCAATGTCCAACTTTCACACGCATATGAAGCCACTGAAAAGAGCATGGCTTGGGTCAAGTGCACCTTGTCCTCAAAGCAGCCTCCTTGCTTTGCAACACTTGAAAGAGGTCTTGTGCAGCAGATTTAGCCAATACAGTGAGTCCTTTGATTGATTTGATTTGATTGATTCAGGCAAAGCAAAATCCTTGATAGCATCACCCTTTTCTCTGTTTATCATGGTGGTATCTTTTGGTCCAGCTGTGAGGATTTTTTGGTTTCTTTACATTGAGTTATAATCCATACTGAAAGCTGAAATCCTTGATCTGTGTCTGTGCATATCAACGTATACATACACACAGACTGCTAATTGCTGACTTCCACGTCTGTGATTCAAACCCACCAGGCTTGCTACTACTTAGGGTCACTATGACCGGGCCAGACCTCGATTGCAGTGGGGTTTTTGCTTTGTACACACACACACACACACACACACACACACACA